AAAAGTTTTGTTTGAGTCTAGTGATTTATATTCTGAGGTTTTATCTATTGGGAATACTTTTTGAGTTAATACAAAAATTACTTAACCTTTTTTTTTTTTTAATCTTGTAACTTATTTAGGAATGTAAATTCTGCTTTTTACCCTAAAAATCCAACCTGTACATTTTGTGAGCTCTGAATTCATTTTGAAATAAAATCAAGAAGAAAGATTTTTAGAATTGTATAAAATATGGAGGTTCAGTTCAGTCACTCAGTTGTGTCCAACTCTTTGCAACCCCATGGACTGCAGCATGCCAGGCTTCTCTGTCCATCACCAACTCCCACACTTTACTCAAACTCATGTCCACTGAGTCGGTGATGCCATCCAACCATCTCACCTCTGTCATCCCCTTTTCCTACTGCATTCAGCCTTTTCCAGCATCAGTCCTTCCAATNTTCAACATCAGTCCTTCCAATGAACACCCAGGACTGATCTCCTTTAGGATGGACTGGTTGGATCTCCTTGCAGTCCAAGGGACTCTCAAGAGTCTTCTCCAACACCACAGTTCAAAAGCATCAATTCAAAGCATCAAATGTTGGATCCCGCCAAGGAAAGATACCCCACGTCCAAGAGCAAAGGAGAAGCCCCAACAGGACGGTAGGAGTGGCAAAATCACGTTTAAAATCAAACCCCATACCCACCAGAGACACTTGGAGGGCTCAAACAAACCTTGTGCACACCAGGACCCAGAGACCCCACAGAGCCTGAGCCAGAACTGTGTTTGAGTTTATACCTCCTGCAGAGGTATGGGTCAGCAGTGGACTGCCACAGGGGCAGGGGCTCTGGGTGCAGTAGACCTGGGTGTGGCATAAACCCTCTTGAAGGAGGTTGCCATTAACCCCACCATAGAGCCGCCAGAACTTACACAGGACCAAGGAAACAGACTCTTGGAGGGCACAAACAAAAGCTTGTGTGCCCCAGGACCTGAGAGAAAGGAGCAGTGACCCCACAAGCGACTGACCCAGACTTGCCCATGAGTGTCTAGGAGCAGAGGCGTGGGGCAGCGGTGGCCTGCTGCAGTCTGGGGGCACTCAGTGCAGCAGTGCGTGCATGGGACCTTTAGAAGGAGGTCACCATTATCTTCATTACCTCCACCATAGTTTGGCCTCAGGTCAAACAACAGGAAGGGAACACAGCCCCGCCCTTCAACAAAATTGGATTAAAGGTTTACTGAGCATGGCCCCGCCCATCAGAACAAGACCCAGTTTCCCTTCAGTCAGTCTCCCATCTGGATGCTTCCATAAGCCTCTTATCCTTCTCCATCAGAGGGCAGACAGAATGAAAACCACAGTCACAGAAAACTAACCGATCTGATCACATGGACCACAGCCTTGTCTAACTCAATGAAACTATGTAGGGCCACCCAAAACAGACAGGTCATGGTGGAGAGTTCTGACAAATCGTGGTCCACTGGAGAAGGGGATGGCAAATCACTTCAGTATTGTTGCCTTGAGAACCCCGTGAACAGTATGAAAACATGGAGGTGGTTAAAGATAATTTTAGACCACTTTAGAGATTTAGTTCTAGTTCATGTTGATAGCATATTTTACAAAGTTTCATAAGGCATTCTTTTCTGTTTTTTATAAAAAAGCTTTCTCTGTGAGATAAAATTCCTCTAAGCTAGGTTTTTAATACTATTCCTTGGCATTTTAAAAAAAGATATAAACTAAACCAAACCAAGGCTTCCCTGGTGCTTCAGATGATAAAGAATCCACCTGCAATCCAGGAGACCCGGGTTTGATCCCTGGGTTGGGAGAATTCCATGGACAGAGGAGCCTGACAGGCTACAGTCCATGGGGTCGCAAAGTCAGACACGACTGAAGCGACTTAGCACACAGAACACACAAACTAAACCAGTGAAGTACCTTCTTATTCTGTGCTCAATAAAGATTTGTGTACATGCATTTAGGAATGATTTACACGTAATTCTTAAAGTGGTAATTTGTTTCAAGTGATAGTATGATACACACACAGACACACACACACATACATACATATATTTGTGTAGTTTGTAATACACCCAACAAGGGGTGATATTGCTATCAAAAAACAAGAAGTCAGGTACCAAACCAGTACCAACGGATGCAAACTAGTGCCGTATTTTGTAATTAGATGTCTTAGAAATAGGCAAAGTGATTTTAATTATGTCTGGAAAATGAGAGATAAAGATTGGCTGACAAGGCAAAGATGTTCATCTATAAAGGAGAAAGTGTTTAGGAAATTGTATCCAGTGGCTCTGGATACAACTTCAGTACAGTGTTCCAGATAGCTATTACTTACTCATTGGAGTTGAAACATTTGACCTAGATACAGGTTCTCTGAAGCTAAAAATTGTCATTTTTTTGACATAGTCCCTTTCTTCTGTGCTACAATAAAAATGTACTTGCATACACTATTACTCAGCAAACTGAATTCAAGGTGTAGAGTATAATTACTATGTTGCAGAAAATTGGGAACCTCCATTTTTGTCCAGTGCTTTTTGTGTGTAAATACAAGGGACATCAGCCAATCTTTTTCTGGAGTAGCTATAGCATCTGCTATGTGTGCAGGACACTAAGGCACAATGGGTAAAGGTAAGCAAAAAATAATTGTGAGTGAAATTGTGCTCATTTCTCCTTTATATTTGGCATTATTGTAAAAATATGTAACCTACAAAGAATTATAAGTTGCTTACTACTTTCTGCAAGCACATTTAATCTCTAAGTAAGCTGATGTTTTAGTTTTTTACATTGTTTTGAGGAAGGCTATGTTAATTTTGACCCTCTAATATGTAGTCTTTGTCTTTCATTATCACTATTGTGTTTATGGATTTAACCAGACCTTTAAAAATACTGTTTTTTGTATATTTCATCCTTTTGTAATGGAGATTGATCTGTAATAAGATAATATTTAGGGCATTTATTTTTTAAATTGTGTTTTTCCTTTCTGTTGAAAATTTCTTGAAATTCTAAAATATTTTCTTTAATTTAGCTGCATCATATGGCACAAGACAGTCATTTATTTTTGTTGATTTGGCTTCCTATGTGAATCTAATTATATATAAACTTGATTTCCCATAAAACTCCCAATAAGCATTTTCAAACCACAGTTTTTCTCAACTTTCTTCTCAAAAATAGCTGATTTTAATATGTGACTGAAAGTAGGCAGTCAGAAGAGAAAGTGGGATTTATTGCACTTTATATAAATCTAAGGAATATTAGGTTTAAAACTTAAATTTGGATAACAATCTAGATTTAATTTCTTCTGTAGCTTGTATGTGTGACGCTAATAGGACTTTGAACTCATTTGTACACAGCCCTGTTAGTCTGTTCCCCTTCCCCCAGCACATGTTTTTTTTTTGTTTCATATGTGTGTTTGTTGTTTGGCTATTATCTTTTTTTTTCCTATTTTCTTTTTGATTGACTTTTGAACCCAAGTATGTAGGTAGGTCTGTTCACTCCACTGCCTAGCGAACACTTTTGCACATAGCCACCAGTCACGTGTGGTTATTCAGAACCTGAAAATGGGGCTGGTCTGAATTGAGATTGCTTTAAATGTAAAGTGCACATGGCATTTCAAAGACTTGGTAGAAAAAAATAAAATAGTTGTGATTGTTTCCCTTGGGCTTTGGATCTGCTATTCATTTGCTCCATCTATTTTTATGTGAGGAATCAGGAGGATTCAGAAACTGCTGCAGATATTGCTGTCCTCCCAAAAAATTTGTAACCTAATGTTTGGTTAACTGTGTTTGAATAGTTTTGTTTTTTTTTAAATTGAATATAGTTGCTTTACAGTGTTGTATTAGTCTCTGCTGTACAACAAAGTAAATCAGCCTCACATATACATTTATCCTGTCTTCCTTGGATTTTGTGTTTGAATAGGCTTACAAATTATATTTAAGAACAAAAGCCATAGTCTTTTTATAAAAGTTGGAGAAAAGGCTAAATAGCCATTTGCTGCTGTTTTTTAAAAATTGTTTATTTATTTATTTATTTTTGGCTGAGCTAGGTCTTCTTTGCTGCTCAGACTTTTCTCAAGTTGCCTCAAGCAGGGACTATTCTTTAGTTGCAATGTGAAGGCTTCTCATTGATGTGGCTTCTCTCGTTGCAGAGCACAGGCTCTAGGGCACCCGGGCTTCAGTAGCTGCGGCATGTGGTCTCAGTAGTTGTGGCTTCTGGGCTCTAGAGCACAGGCTTAGTAGTTGCGGCACACTGGCTTTGTCGCTCTGCAGCATGTGGAATCTTGCCCGGATCAGGGATCTAACCCATGTCTCCTGCATTGGCAGGTGGATTCTTTACCACTAAGCCACCAGGGAAGCCCTGCTGCTACTTTTAAAAGAAGTGTTTATCAGAGAAAAATCATAGAAAACTTTAAAGAAAATAAAAAGGTGACCTAGCTCATGTGTTGAAAGCTATTGTTTCTGGCAGTGTATAAACTCCATTCCCAACCACAGATCTAGTTTTATCAGCTAGAATAGTTTGTGTCTTTACCCTTTTGTGACTCTCCCACATTTGGTGACCAAGTCAGGTCTCATAAAACATTGAAGAATTATATGCATTACCATTCACTGTTCAGACTTGGTTTTAACCAAGAAATTTACTGAATAGTGTCCTAATTCACTAAAGATGAAATAACATTTGCAGTTCATTCAGAAGAGCTCCAGAGAGTAATCAATATTTACTAAGGGCCAAGTGCTCAGATTCATTCACAGAAAGGCAGTACAGTTTTGAAATCCATATCAACTTGAAGTTCCCTTATCTACCAGTAAAGACTCAGCTTTCTTTAAGCTTAAAGAATAATGTGTGTGTTTTAGATAGATTTACAGTATTCAGTGATCCAAAATTTTAGCCATATTGTTGTTTACATAAAGATTTTTAAAAGATGAGAAAGTTGTGTGTTAATTCTAAGTGTGGTTATTATGTTAAATTACTATGTATGTAGAAAATGTTTATATGTGTCTTTTTCTCTATTTCTCTTTTAAGTTCTCAGCCAATTTCCTCTCCAGTCATCCTCCAGTTTGGCCATGCAGAGACCCTTCTTCCACTGCTTTCTCTCATGGGCTACTTCAAAGACAAGGAACCCCTAACAGCTTACAATTACAAAGAGCAGATGCATCGGAAGTTCCGAAGTGGTCACATTGTACCCTATGCTTCAAACCTGATATTTGTGCTTTACCATTGTAAAAATGCTAAGACTCCTAAAGAAGAATTCCGAGTGCAGATGTTACTGAATGAAAAAGTGTTACCATTGGCTCACTCACAAGAAACTGTTTCTTTGTATGAAGATCTGAAGAACCACTATAAGGACATCCTTCAGAGTTGTCATACCAGTGAAGAATGTAAACTACCAAAGGTGAACACATCTGATGAGCTATGAGTAACTGCCAAACATTTTTAATTCATCAGCAATCTCCAGGGAGTGATTCCATGCTTGGAATAGGTGGGCAGTCCCTGGGTACAGAAAGCTTTAACATTTCTTGAGTATTTCTGTTTATTCAAAGAAAAATGTTTCTTTTTGAGTCTGGACATGGGTGTGTAAGAAATGATTCTTCACTGAAGCAGCTCTCTTATGGGAAATCTATTCAGAGATAACTGGCACTACATATGTTTACAGAAATCAAATTCTTCCTCTTTATGTAAGAAATCTCACACTGAGATGGAACATGATTTGAAAATGATAAACAGAAGTTTTGAAGTAACAAAATATTTTGTCAGTTGGACAGTCCATAACTTGACTGGACTAAGTCTCGGAACTTTACGAGTTGTGCTGCCATTCTTTCTTTTTTCCTCAGGTAGCATAGTTCTAGTATTATCTTCTTAATCAGAGCTATTATGATTCACTGGGAGTATCTCTTTGGAAGAAATTAACATCTCTAGTTGAGAATTTGAAACAATATTAAGAAACAGTAAAATTTAAAAGAACACCTTCACTGAAGGAAGACAAAGTATAATAAAATATCTTTGTTAAGAGTATTTATAAAGTATTTGAACACAATTTCAATAATTCCTTTTAACCTCTTAGTAAGTCTTGAAAGGCCGTGATTTAATTATTATCATACCTGTTTCACATATATAACTGGAAGAACAGAGAGGACCATTAGCAACAAGACAGAAGAATAGAATCAAACTTAAATCCATTGCTTTATGTGTTTTTTTGTTTTTTTTTTTTACTTTATATGTTTTTAAAAATTGTCACTTTGCTAGTATTTGTATATTTTGCTGTTATGTGAGATATATCTTTTGAGGTTTAATATCTTGTTTGTTCTTCATTTTTGTAAAGACTGACTTCATATGGGTGGGCTTTCAGATTCACACATGCTGCTGCTTAGTCACTCAGTCATGTCCAACTCTGTGACCTTATGGACTGTAGCCCACCAGGCTCTTCTGTCCATGGGATTCTCCAGGCAAGAATGCTGGAGTGGGTTGCCATGCCCTTCTCCAGGGGATCTTCCCAACCCAGGGATTGAACCTGAGTCCTCCCACATTACAGGCAGATTCTTTACCATCTGAGCCACAAGGAAGCCCTTTCACAGATATGAACCCATTTCAAAGCAATAGTACTGAGTTCTATCAAATGCCATAAAAGTAGTTTCTATAATAATAAACATAATTCTTACAACTTTACTACCAGGTTTTTTCCTGCTTTCCATATTGATACACAATCAATAATTGATGGTAAAAGGATAGCATTTCAGGCAGCTTTGACTAATCAGGTGATATAAAGACATTTTCTTCCAATAAAAGTTTCTGGGGAGGAAGGCTCAAGAGGAAAGTAAATATATATGTATATGTATATATATGTATATATATATAAAATTATGGCTGAATTGCATTGTTGTATGGCAGAAACCAACACAACATTGTAAAGCAATTTTCCTCCAATTAAAGAATAAAAAAATTTCTTAGGTTTTCACTTATTAAGAATGGAAATCCATTTTGTTCGAAATCTAAATAAATTGTTAAAACTGTAAATTGAAATTATAAAAAGATGCATAGATCATTTATAAATCATTGATCTTCAAATGAGTGATGTTCACAGAATAGATGATTAGCTGATAAATATTACTGATGCATCAATACACTGCTGATTATTCCTACAAAGATCTGATGTTAATAATTTTCTAAGAATTCGTCTAAGGCAGACAAGAAGAGAATAGTATATTCATGCCCTTCATACTGTTTTATCAAAATTAACATTATATCATTTGGTTTAGATCAAATAAAAATTGAAGACTTTTGTATGTCTTCCTGATGCTTTTCCCTCGCTGCCTGCCTGTTGGTAACCACCAACATGAAGTTCAGTATTCACCATTCCACTGCATGCTTGACTCTGAAATTTTATAGTATTGTGGGAATTTAAACTTTTCTATAAAAAGGACTTCACTGTGCATATCATTCTTGAATAATTGATTTAATTGCTATATTTGTTTTTCAGGACTTTTTGATCATTTATCACAAATCAACAATATCAGTTCATGAGTCATGTACTTTATGTGTACAAACACTAGACTCAGACTGTGAGCATGTTAAAGTTGAGTAAGCCTAGTTTTTCTTTCAAGGGGGTTATCTTAAAAGACCTTACAACAAATTTACTTGATAACTGGAACATTAAATAATTTGATTCATGAAGTTTTCATAGAAATTGTTTAATTTATTATTTATTTATTTATTATTAAGTAAAACCATATAGTTATCATTGTAGTCTTTGGTATGTAAACTATTTCAGGATAGAGGGTAAGTATGGTCCATTTTCATTAATGTTACATAGGCTGTGACATTCTGGTGCTATTATTCTCACTTAGGAAATACCTGAAACTGAAGAATCTTATGATAAAAGCAAAAGATCTTATCTCAGATAGGATATATGAAAAGTTGAATGTTGAAAAATAACCTTTGGCCACCAAGATTTCATTCATGATATGTTTCCACTTTACTCATTTAAGCCAAAATGTAATCACTGTCGGTTCTGAGATTTTGGTCAATTAATAAATAGCCTATGAACATTAGTCATTTTTCTGTCTGTAGTCTACAACTTAATGTGTGCAGTGCATTTGTCTTTACTCTTTTTTTATAGTCATTTTATCATTTTGAAGTTTCTCTTCTCCAACACAAAATCCTGTGCTTGAAACTGTCTTTGTATATAATCTTGATCTTAATTTTAACACTGAAAGCAGAGTTCAACTTGAAAAGGAGCTTAATTTTTTTCAGGCAAAAGTCAAATTTTATACCTTTGAGTGCTTTCTTTTGTAAACTGTGGAACTGATGCATGACTTTAAATATCTGGGAGCTACATAGAGCCAAACAGAATTTGTAAGTATAAATTTTTGGGATGTATTTCTTTAAGGTGGTATTTCATACAGTTGATTAATGATCCTTGGAATTTGGACTATTCTGCCAAATGTAAGCTGAAAATAAATATTTGCATTACAATGTAATTTGCCTTTTATCTAGCTCTTCTCCTGAACTTACCTAGTCACTTAATTCTCATAGAATCACAGATCACTGAGTTTTCTATTCTTTTTCTCTCACTTAAGCATTTCCTTCCACTTACCTATCAGCTTAACCTACCCTTAAGCACCTTCACATCAGTCTGTTAAGCTGTTTTTAAATTGGTGTATGTGTATGTGTGTGAGGAGAGAGAGAAGAAAAAGAGGGAGTGAGTATTTTTGAGAAAATTCCATAGCAGGAAAAAAGATGTCATATTATTCTAGTTAAAAGAATTGTGGTTTGGGCTTCCTACCTGGCAGATTATGAGGCGGTTAACTTTCATACTTCATTTTATCATTATTGGAGTAATATATTTTAAGATAGAAGGATTCTTAAATTTATTATTTAAGATTAATTTATTAAAACTGGTTTCAATTTAACATCATCCATTGTTTTGCTGTATTCAAATGCTGTATCAGTGGTAACAGTGGAATTTTGACTTCATTCATTTGAGGCACTTTGGCATGCAGATTGTTTTAAGTAATACAGCTGATTGTAAACCACTTAAGTCTCTTGACACTGCCCACCACTGGGGGGAAAATGTGCTTTTGAAGATGCTGCCACTCTCTGTCCTTCTCTGTAACCATTAGCTATAATTGCTTAGGTCAAAAAGTTGTATGCGTAGCAGGAAATGGAAAGAAGACAAATGTCTAGGCAGAGCTTTGTATGTGACCATTTCCAGGACAAATCAAATTGTATCTCCAGGCTCAGCTCACTGTACAATGTACCTGGTATACCAGGGTGGGGCAGGTTAGTAGCTGTATTACAATCCAACCCTTAGAACTGCATTTGTAACATTTCCCAGTATAACACATTCAGGCCTTATTGGAGCTTCTAAATTGTATGAATTACAGGATAATGGTAACTACGATTATACTGTGTACTTATTTTCCGTTCCACTGCTTTAAAGCAGTTCCTTAGCCTCATGCCCTTGACCCATCCCTGGAGTCCATAAAGCCAGGCTCATTGAGTGCGCATTGAACAGTGGCAACTGGCAGATGCTTTGGCTGATATCCATGATGAAGAATTTGAGGGAATGAAAAAGGCAAGGCTTTGCTGCAGGTTGCACGTGTGTCATGCCATGTCTATGGTCTCTGCCCCAATCCATCATATAATAACCATCATTGCAATAACAATGTGTTTTACAGCAAACACCACATGACCAATTATGTCAGTAGAATCTTGTTACATACAAATACTGCCCGAAAATATCTCCCAATCTGAGGATCTGAAGATAAAACTTAACCCCTGTATGGTTGTTAGCATAACTGACGCCATCTTGGGCCTTTACAGTTTCTCCCTCCGTGATCCTACCCAGGACTATACTGTACAGTGAACCACTTCTCTGTCATCAAGAGCTTTGTATTAAATAGTTAATAGGTATTGTTTAATAATGATCAGAACCAGGTGGCCTCTATGCTCTGTTAGCCCCCAAACAATGATGAAAACCTTCACTGATGAATTCTTGGTTCCCAGGAGACTAGTTACCCATTCATGAACCTTGACTTAGGAATGCTTATCCTGTTTCCAAATACCTACCTCATATCCTAGGTTAACTATACAATTATCCCAATGGTCTCCCGATGATGCAGAGTACAGCTGTGAATGTTTCTGGATTATCCACCTGATCCCTTCCCACCCTGTAAGTTACTCTACAGTAAAATGACCCATTGATTGATTACACAGAGCTGCCTGCCTGGCATTTTGTTCTCAAGATGCCTTCTGTTTGGTGGACACTTTGCGTTCCTTCCCTCCTCCAATAATTGGCAAGCCAGGTAGTAAACTGGAAACAACGCAGGAATGAGTAAAGGGGCCATGCTAGGGGAAAGCCATTGTTCACAGGGAAAAGCCCAGGCTGGCAAGTCACTTCCATGGAGGGTGACCTGGCTAGGTTTATGGAACGCCAGGCATTGCGTGAGTACAGGGGTGCCTGGGAAAGGCTCCAAAGGGCAAATAGCTAGATATATTAACGGAAATGGTGGGAAATCAAAATGGGAAAAAAGTGAGCAAACTCTTGGTTGTTACATGGCTTTGTTATGGGCTCTAAGTACTGGCACAGAAAAGGAATTACAGCTCAGCAGGAAACTAGATAAGACTAAAGGCACTGCCTTTAGGGAGGGATGCCTGGACAGCAAGTTCTGCCACCTGGGCCATTACATCAAAATAACGCCGGGAAGAACATATTGAAATGGTTGCATATAAAATGGTTAAAGTGCAGAGCTGTAGGCTGCCCCATTCAAGGGTGAGGACTATTATTTTGCAGGAGAATTGAGACCCCAGTTCAGTTCAGTCAGTCGTGTCCGACTCTTTGTGACCCCTGACCTGCAGCATGCCAGGCCTCCCTGTCCATCACCAACTGCCGGAGTCCACCCAGACCCATGTCCATTGAGTCAGTGATGCCATCCAACCGCCTCATTCTCTGTAGTCCCCTTCTCCTCCTTCCTTCAATCTTTCCCAGCAGCAGGGTCTTTTCAAATGAGTCAGCTCTTCGCATCAGATGGCCAAAGTATTGGAGTTTCAGCTTCAACATCAGTCCTTCCAATGAATGCCCAGGACTGATCTCCTTTAGGATGGACTGGTTGGACCTCCTTGCAGTCCAAGGGACTCTCAAGAGTCTCCAACACCACAGTTCAAAAGCATCAATTCTTCTGCGCTCAGCTTGCTTTATAGTCCAACTCTCATATCCATACATGACCACTGGAAAAACTGTAGCCTTGACTAGATGGACCTTTGTTGGAAAAGTAATGTCTCTGCTTTTTAATAT